AGGAGGATGAGGAAGGAGGAGGACGATCAGTAACAGCATCAGCAGCAGCATCAGCAGCAGGAACAGGAGCAAGAGGACAGGGTTTCGGTTCGGTCCTCCTTGAAGGCGCGAGTCATAGCGCACAGCTGCCGAGCGGGTGCCACTTCCAAGGGGGGCTATAGCCGAAGGGGGAGCGGGAAGAACAGAAAGACCAGAAGAAGGCGGAGGAGAGGAAAGGAGCAGGGAGACAACGATAGGACTCGGATCCAGAGACGCGCGCCGATCCTAAAACGAAGTCCATGCTGCAGCGGGAACACTTTCAAACACTGAAGACATTCCTTGAACAACCATCTGACATACAAACTTTTGTTCCATCCTGTGTGTAAGAAACAAATCACGGAAATGGCGTAGTGCCCACCGTACGTCTTCGGGGGAGAACGGAGAGTTGAGGGGATCGTCCCTTCTGGCGCCGCCGGCCGGCCAAGCGCACCTGCTGGTTGCTTGCAAGCAACCAGCAGGTACGCTTCTATAGTAATATTGCGAATGTGCAGTATTGTATTTCTCCCCAGGAGGTACATTGCAGTACGTTTCCCCAGACAGCATCTTCTGTTTCCTCGACGGCGGCGGGCACCTTCGCGCTTCGGCGAGCCGCTGAGCCGACGTCAAACGTATGGTTGAGAGTCAGTGCAGGGGCCGTTAAGAGGGAAGCAGCTAAGCGAAAGCGTTTGAGGAATGTTCGGGGACTTCTGGTTTGAAGTTTTTTGGTGCATTCAGTTTCTGCGTTTTCCATTTGGTTTTTGAGTTGTGTGCCAAAAGTGGCCGTGAGCCACTTTCGCTGTGCCCGCGTGTTCTTCGATTGAACTCGAGTGCGCCAGAGTTCTGCGTCGCCATGCAGCTTCGCTTGGTGGGGCGCCAGGCGACTCCTCGGGTTGCCTGGGGGCGCGCCCCTGTGGGTTGTCGCCCCCGCGTTCCCATATACGGCCTTTGCCCCTGCGGGGCTTTGTCGTCGGCCGCAGCATATTGATTTTCTTATACAGGAATTGGGTGCCGCACTCTTGCGAGCCCCCAATGCTTGGATGACTTCGCGCAGGGGCCATGGACTAATCCAGGGGGGCTGGATTAATCCCTCCCCGCCGCCAATGGTTGGCAAAGTGCACAAGCCGGTGGCCAAGGTTGCCTGCGCGCCTTTCGTGCGCGCGTAACGATGAGCGGCCAAGGTTTACGAGCGTTTTGCGGGGGGGTCGTTTGTCTCCAGACGCAGCCTTCGCCCTGTTCCCCCTGCATGCGTCGTTTGCGCAGGTTTTGGCGCGCTGCCCCAGAGTATTCCAGAGTATCTTCGGGGTTTCGTATTGGGTTTCGCGTGGGGCTTACAATGGTTTACTATTGACTTCCCCATGGTTTTCTATGGAGATCCATCTGGGGTTTCCCATGGTGTTTCCTATGTGGTTTCCTTGGGGTGCTTCTATGGGGATTCCTATGGGGGTTTCTATGGGTTTTCCTACGGGGGTTCCGATCGGGTGTTTTATGTGGGTTCCGATTGGGTTTCCTGCAGGGGGCCCATGGGGATCCCCGCGGGGATCCCGATAGAGTTTCCTATGGGGTTCCTCATGCGGTTTCCTATATGTCATGACTAAAATCGTCTTCCATTGAACAAACTCATCAGCCAACGACATCCGCCAACATCTTGACTCGTATAGGCTTCCGTAGAAAATTACTCATGCAGCTTCAGGCAAGCAGCTCAAGGCACCCACCATGGAGTCCGATCCGAGCAAATGGGGTCGAAAGATCATCCCGCCTCGCCGATGCATAGGCGATGCGGTCTGCTGTGGAGCCCCCATGTTATCCGCGCCTACGTCGCCAATGCATCGCCGACGTCGGCGACGCATCGCCGATGCATCGCCGATGCATCGGTGAGGCATCGACGATGCGGCGCAATTCTCCGCCCGCATCGATGTTGATCCCATTCGGGAGGCCACTATCAGTGTCGGTCGGGCATGGAGAGAACGCCCACCCAGACAAGTCGGCCGAGAAAGTCTGCACAGGTTCAATCGACATTGGCACGTGCCGGTGCAATCGCCTGTCGGTTTCGCTAATCGACGTGCGGTTCTCTAGATATGTTGGGTGCTTCTTGGACGTCGATTAGCTACCCTGCTGGGGTCAGCTCGGAATGCGTTGCCGTGCGCACGTGGAGTGCTTCTTGGCTCGGGTGTTCTGCCAATCTTCGAGTCCATGGCATCTCTCGGACTTTTGCGGTTTTTTGGGGCGAGGAACGCATTTGATCATCCTGGATCATTCTGCGAAAAAACTGCACGCGCGAATCCGAAACATGCACGGGGAATGGACGTCCGAGCGATGGCGAGAGTCGGCGGCCCCAGGGTTGCCAGAGCCAGGTCGCGCAAGCCAGGGGGCCTGCACACCTTGCTCGTGTCGAGGAACAACTTGTCTGGCAGAAACAAATTCGTCGGCATCTCTCGGACATGGTCGTTGTGTCTCAGCGAAGGCCATCTAGAAACTTTCGTTTGTGTTATCTGGCGGAGCACTCACTACGCGCAAGATTCCCAACAATGCACGTGGAATGGACGTCCGAACGATGGCGAGATTATGTGAGGCCCGCGCGGATTTTGCGACGGACGCTGGACCACCCTCCCTGTCGCGCGGAACGCGCCAGGGGCGGCGCAGGGGGCCCCACGCAGATCCCAGAAGTCCGCGCGGAGATCCGACATTTTCTGCTTATGCAGCTATGTTTTTCGATTGGGCCCAAGGAGTGTCGGCGGCGCGCATGGTGTGGAAGTGAGAACGGGCAGGGAAAACTCACGATGTGCGAAACGATCCAGGGAACGGCGGTGAGGTAGGTGGCATGACACGGAAGGGGGAGTAGCAGGAACGTAGGATATTGATAATGATGAGGAGGAGGAGAAGAAGGACAAGGAGCAGGCACAGTATTGCTCGCAGTACTTGTGTTATCGGTGTTTTCGGCACACTCATCCTCTGCTTCAATCCGCTTTCAACGCTGTGGTGAGGCCCATTCGAACTCCACCTCACACTCCAAGCCCTCCGCCCCAGGTGACCCCTCAGACCGCAAGCAGGCCCCCCAAAGGCCCAAAAGAGGCCCCAAGAGGCCACCAAACAGTTCCCCAGACGCCCCGAGAGGCTTCAGAAGTAGCTCCAAGAGGCGCCCGACAAGCGTGCCAAGATACCCTAAACAGGTATCCCTGAAGCGTCTGACCCACAACCCAGGCACGGTGGCGGTATGAGCCGAAGGCCAGAAGATCCGCCGCCCCCTGTCGATTCATCGCAGGGGTGCCTGGCGTGTTAAACCCTCTCGGTTTGGGTTTTGGTTCTTTTCCCAAAAGAACCCCCCCTGGGGCTTCGGCCCGTCCCGCCGGGGTCCCGGGAAGGATCTCAAAACGCATCCGTCTTGCCTCTGTTTCCTCTAGTTGGCCCAAGATGGCGTCCAAGACGGCCAAGATGGCCCAGGATGGTCTCCACGACGTCTCCAAGACGGCCCAAGATTGCCTCCAAGACGGCTAAGGGGGTCACCAGATGCCTCCAAGACGGCCCCAGATGGCGGCCATCTGGTCTTCGACGCCTCCAAGACGGCCCAAGGGTCCTCCAAGACGTCCTCCAGGAAGGCCCGAAAGGACCAACATCATTGATTTTCCTTTGGTTTTTTGAAGGATTTTGGCATCTGCGCCTTTTCGGCTTCTCGACGGCCCAAGACGGCCCAAGAGGCCCCCAAGATCGCCCAAGAGGCCCCCCAAAGGGCCCCATGACGGCCCAAGTGGCCTCCAAGACGGCCCCAAGAGGGCTCCAAGACGGCCCAAGAGGCCTCCAACACGCCCAAGATGGCCTCCAAGACGCCCAAGATGGCCTCCAAGACGGCCCCGAAGCGCCCCAAGAGGGCTCCAAGTCGGCCCAGAAAAGGCCCCCAAGACGGCTCCCGACGGCGTCAGACGTGCCGGGAACCCACGAAGATGGCCGAAGTTGGCTCGAAGCTGGCCCAAGACGGCCCAAGAGGCCACCAAGAGGGCCTCCAGGAAGGCCAGAAGATGCCCAAAACATTGATTTTCCTTAGGTTTTGACGTGTTTTGACATTTGCTTCTTTTCGGCCTTCCGACGGCCCGAGACGGCCCAAGAGCCCCCGAAGATCGCCGAAAGATCGCCCAAGAGGCCTCCAAGATGGCCCCAGAACGGCCCAAGAGGGCCCCAAGACGGCCCCAAGAGGCCGCCAAGACGGCACAGGAGGCTTTTAAGACGTCCAATATGGGCCTCCAAGACGGCCCTGGAGCATTCCAAGAGGGCCCCAAGTCGGCCCATAGAGGCCCCCCAAGCGGCTTCCGACGGCGTCAGACGGACCAGGAGCCCACCAAGACGGCCGAACATGGCCCTAAGATGGCCCAACACGGCCCAAAGGCCCTCAAGAGGGCCTCCAGGAAGGCCCGAAAAGGCCAAAATCATTGCATTCCCATGTGTTTTTGAAGGATTGTGGCGTTCGTATTTTTTCTGCCTTCTGACGGCCCGAGAAGGCCCAAGTGCCCCCAAAGATCGCCCAAGAGGGCCAAGAGGTCTCCAAGACGCTGAAGATGTCCTCCAAGAAGACCCGAAAGGGTCAAAATGGCCTCCAGACGGCCAAGATGACCTTCAAGATGTCCACGTGTTCCCCGAAGGCTTTCCACACCGATTCGGGGAACACATGGTCCGATAGCTTGGCAGGTCTGGCCTCAACGTTCGGCCACATAGGCGCTTCCAAAAAGGCAGGGGGCGGCGGTGATTCGCCGTAGGCGTCTTCGATAAGCAAACGATTAGCCTGGTGAAGGACACAACCCACTGCACTCACGCGTCGCGCAGTGCGCGGCCCTCTCTTCACATATTGCGTTCCGCGGGGCAGTGCGGATAGGGGCCTGCTGCGGTGCATGCGTGCGCAGACGCCGCAGACCGCCAGAAGTCCCCTAAGAGGCCACCGAGAGGCCGAACATCAATGTGTACCCTTCATCACCGACGCCAGCAGTTGCTAATTTCGA